AAGCGGGATAACTATGGAATACTCTGCTGGTTCTCTGATCTGCTACATAGCTTTGTACCAAGGAGGCTTGCGCATTAACTGTGAAGTATCATTGTATGCTTGAGAGCAGCTGTTGAGTTGAGCTGAGTTTTCCTATCTGTATTCCAAACGGGCATATAATGCTGGAAAGCATGGCTTACTGCCTAAGAAAGACATCGGGGGGGGGGGGGGGGGAAATATTCTTATTCTTCTTTCTCAAGCAGACGCTGTATTGTCACGTTACTCTGCTGCTCGCTGGGGAGGTGCTGAATTGCATCTCTCTAACTGGTCAGTACCATGGCTTTTCTTGCCGTAATGCTGAATTTGTAATGTGCCACCTGGCTGAAGCATCTTGTGGTGCTGCTTTCTGTGTTGCCCTGTAAAGTCAGATACGTGGAAAACCAGCAAAGTATTCTGAAGCTGTATGAGCTCATAGAGTCGTCGGAGTTGGAAGGGTCCTCTGGAGGCCATCTGGTTCAGCCTCCCTGCTTAAGCAGGGCCACCCAGCGCTGGTTGCCCAGGAGTCCCTGTGTGCTATTTGTGCTCTGGAGTCTACCAAATTTAGCGTTTAAGAGCTGGTATGTGCAGAAATGCATATGCTGTGTGGGGATGTGCTTTAGTGTTGTTCAGGAGAAAGGATTCCTGGTCACCTTTCATCTGGAGTTTGGCACCATTACAAGACACTATAAACATAACTCAGTCTTACGTTATTTCTAGGTATTGTTAAGAAGCGTAGAGGCTTCAGAAGAGACCTTGGGAGGTGTGCAGAGTAACTTGTGAGAACGATTGTTTTGAACAGTAAATGAAGACAATAAACCTGCATAGCAGCTAAGAACCCATCTTGTGAGATAGAATTGGATTGGAAAATGGGCTGTGTACAGTACAGAGTTGTCCAGGAAATACTGCTGACTTTCTGATCTTCAAGCAATACTTAAACTCTGCACTCTACAGATTACAGCCTGATTTCTTTCTTACAGCACCTCTCTCTCTGTGTCTTACCTTCCTAAGCTGGACTTGAGCTACATGCCTTGAGATTCTTGAAGCTTTCATTGCTTCAGAACAATAAAGTTTGGATTTTACCTCAGCAGGCAGCTGATCTGCAGGGAGGACCAGAGGAGTACCCAGTAACTGGCATCCCTTTGCAGTAGACGTGTTATGCTGGGGAAGCACCAGCAGGGAGCTCCAGAGGATACATTCATCTGGGAAATTACCCCCCCACACACAAAGCCCATGGGTTTGGATGAACCAAATGCTGGACTTCGCTACGCTCATATACACAACTCTGTAGAATCCCAAAATTCGATGTCAGAATTGCCAGTTCTCTATTTCTGCTGAGAACTGGAATCAAAATAATATGAACTGAAAAGAAACAGTGGCAAATTGGCAGAGTTCTGCAATTTTGCAAGTAAATGTAGGTCTTTGCTGCTTCTTTGCCTAAAAGCGTTCCGTAAACCCCTTGCAAGCAAACCATTAGTTCCTTGCTGTTTCAGCT